GCGTCACGTGAATTCCGCTGTCGTAACAATATGTATATATTATAAGAATTCCCATTTTAACACTTAATTACTGAAGTGAACAACTTTTAAGGTAAAAATAATTTAATAAATTTAAAAACGAAATGAATCAAGCATTAAAATTCTTATTATATTAATAAAACAACGGCTAATTCGTTTTCCTTGACTTCATGAAGACAGAACCTTGTTTCTCTTTCATAGTTTAAGAGTGTAGCACATCCACAATTTGTTTCATCTCAGAAGATAATAAGATTAACATATAATAGCTAAAAAAAGTGCAAAAAAGCAGCTGGCTGCACAAGCTAAACTCGAAATTAGCCTCTCATCCCTAAATTTCAACTTATTTCTAACATACATCTCATGCCTAAGTAATGTAAATTCGAGGAACGAAAAGAAAAAGAGGGCGCAAGAATCGAAACTTTCAGCATCGAGATGTGCCAATCATAAAAATGAAAAATTAATTTGCTACATTTATAAAATCAATAGCTGTAATACTCAAGAAATATTAAACTAGACTTATCGAACACCAATTATTTTTCTATAAAATATCATATATTAGAGTTCACAGCTTGTAGTAAAGTCGGATTAGTTATAATATCAGTTACCAGAAAATGATCAGTTTTCTTCTGCTCGTGGTCGTATGCCTACGCTCAAGGAGACAGTTGACTTCTAGCACTCGAATCCTGGGAAAATACTACCAGTAATAACAACTTTGGTAATAATGACACAAATAAATCAGTCACCAAAGTGAAAAACAAAACATATCGTACAGTTTCTTCACAAAAGGGGTAAAACACATAAAAAACTTTATTACTGGTGTAGTTTTTACAGATTCCTATCTTATAAACACCCCAGTAAACAGCATAAAAATAAGAAGCCTAAAATATACGATTTTCTTGAATCGTGCGAATAAAGTTAAACCATCACATTGTTGTCAGATGGTGCTGTTGAGATCACATTTCAGCATTTTAAGGAAGGTTGATTATCCATACGTAATATTTACTCATTTCTTTCATTTTAAGCACAAAGCTATACAATAGATTCAGAGCCGGATTAAGACCACTAGTAACTTCACTTCTATAGCCCTCTTTTTTTTCTCCACAAGTTCTCAGTTGAATCTGTATTGAAATTTTAGCCATGAAAACAACCTTTCATTAAATATAATACTTTCAAAACATTAGTCTCCAACTTAGAATGTTTTTAAACATTATCTGAGAAAACTGGAAAAAAAAAAGAAGCATAACCACTGTGGCCTCATATGGAATTGTCTTTCGGTTAATCCAGACCTGAATGAGCTATCTGCGCTGTGCCCACCGCGAACATCGAACCCGAGTTTTAGCGTTATGGCTCTCTTGGTTACTACCGAGCTACTTTAAGTATTATTATTTGTAATTAAGCACAAAGCTACACAAAGGGCTATCTGTGCTCTGCCCACCACGGGTATCGAAACCCGGATTCTAGCGTTGTAAGTCCGTAGACATACCGCTGTGCCACTAGGGGGCTAAATACTTTAAGATTGTAATGTTTTTAAGGTTTCGAATATATATATATACGTAGAGTAATTCTCAATTGTTCCCGTATATCTATGTTTACTTGATTTTGAATTCCTCTCACAATTCTGATAAATCAACAACATATTTTATATGTAGGCTTTTAATTCCCACAGAATATAAATGAAAGTTAAAAAAAAAAACTTATTGGAAAGGGTCGTGAGCAGGCTCCGAAAATTGGTATTCAAGAGTTTATGAGTTCTTAGGTTTGACTGAAAATTTGGTATTAACACTTAAGAAGCCGCCCAAACTAGCAACTAAAATTCATTTTTTCTTTTTTACCGGTTTAGAGATCAAATAGCTTTTGTGGAACTTTCGGGAATGGACCTAATGATATTATGCAAATTGGCATGGGCCTGTAATGCTCGCTTAAAATATGCATTTACATTCAGATTTTCGAACTTTTTTTATTTTGGCCCTTAATTTAACATCTAGTAGGGTTTGAGAGATTCTCAGGATTAGTTACACGATTTCACTTAAAACTTGAAAAGATCATCTAAGTGGGTGTTCAAAACAAGGTTTGATTTTTTTTGTAGTTAATTTCTCACGGATAA